CTGTGTTTAACTCATCATACAGTAGCTCGTTTTAAATGTATTACAGGAAAGAAACTTTCTTCTAAATCTTTGAAAACACTTGCATGGTGATGTGAAGTCCTTATCACATGTACAGTTTTCTCCTTCTGTGCTCTCTACGTGCTGCAGTCACTGTGTGACTGAGGGACTGCAACACCGTGCACTGCACTTGCTTAGGAAGATTCCTTTCTGCGTGGGGTGGAGGGAGGAGTTAACTCAGTGACTTCTCAGGCTTGACTACAGGGCTGAGCAGAACTGATGGCCATGGCCAGAGCATCTGAAGCTCAGTGCGTTTCCTCCCCATGGCTCTGTCCATCTGTTTTGGGTCAGTGAGCTCCACAGGTAGTAAATGTCAAAGAAACGTGAGAGCTGAGATATGGGCACAAAGCATACACCTGAGAGACGGATGGCAGGATGTTCCCATGGGCTTTTCCCCTTAACCATAGTGTAGGAGACGGGCCGTATCACACGTGCCAGATGATGACTGTGAAAGTGGGGTGAGGGGTACATGGGAAGTTCCACTGCTCTTGTGCATGTTTAAACATTTCTGTAACAGAAAGCTTAAAATAATGAAAGAAGCTGGGTGCCTCCTAAAGAGAGGGAGGGGACGAGAGGATACCTGGCAAGGGGACTCAGTGCGTCAAGATGAGGGTTTAGCTCTCTCAATAAGGACATTTCAGGAAGTGTAATCATTGAGGTTAGGAAGGAAACCTCTTTTCATATAACAGGAAAGAAGAAAAGGAGGAACGGGAAAAGGTTTCTGTGAAGGTTTATTGACGGAAAGTTCCTGTCTCATGACTTCTAGTTCCTCTGTGATCAGTGGTCCAGCACAGCTACTGAGCAAATGGAGACAGCCTAAATTTGAGGAAAGTGAAAGAGATTTGAAATAAATTTGAGTGTCCCTGGAGAGAGAATGGAGTAAGGAAACAGCGACCTAAGCTCCATTTGTCTTGTTCTCATGTTAGTAAGCATGGGATAATTCTTTGTGGAATGAGTGAGTGATTTCCAGCTAGTGCTGGGGCTGAATTTACTGTGGCATCGGTAGACTCCATTGTGAGATTTAATCCAATAGTGATCAATTGGTTATAGGAAGGCATTTCTGGGAAAGGCAGAGAGATGGGATTTTGCCAGACAGGAAGGATTAAAAGGGATTGGATGGGGCCCATTAGTAGCGGAGCTTTTTTAATGTTGGTTAGCTGACAAACCATCGAGTCTACCCCGGAGAGGGAGGAAATGTAAACAAGAGCTTGACCGACAGACAAGGAGTAAGTGGAAAAATGAACGGCCTGGAGTTGAAAAGTTGACAAAGGGCATATGAATCAGAAGAATGAGAGACGAGGCCAAGGGGTGGAATGTCCGACTGTAATAATCTGGATGGCTGAAGTGTTCCTGGTGATAAGCTCTGGAGTGTGGCAGTAACTACACTGGAATGGAAGTAAAGGACCCTAAGATGAGATGATGTAGAAACTGAGAGGCTGGTCTTTGGCTGGTCTATCCACATCGATGGTAGAGCCCTCCATGGCCTCCTCCCCTCTTCAAGTCTCTTGCCCTGGGCCCCATCCCCCTCCCAGGACCTCCACAGAATCTGCATTCTTTCTTTGACCTCAAGTTTCAGACATTGTGGGTTC